GTTTAGGATGGACGAATAGATGCGCGTGCACCAGTGGGAATCGCAGAGATGTCGCGAATTTCAAATCGCGTTGCCACAATTGGCGCGGTTCTTGTCATCGTTTTGCTCGTGATACTTCTAGTAATCCTCTGGTCGGACGTGCGCAATGTAGACAAGATCGAAAGTCTCGGTAGGATACGAAAGAATTCAACGATTGACTCTGGCGTCAATGAAACGAGGAAGCAGCAGGTCGGCGGCCTGCACATCGCTACGACGGATCTGGTTACGACGTTCGAGTCTATCGAGCAGAATCTCACGAACGAGGGTAAGTTTCTATTCATTTATTCGCCTATTCATTTTATTAGATCATACAATCTGGCCATGAGCGATTTTGTCAAAATCCAAGAGAAAAAGATATGTATATATATATATATATATTTCTTTCCTGAATATACATATATTACTATCTTATTTTAACTTTTGTCACACTCAGATAATTGACGTTATTTAATAAAAATGATATTGAAGGCATTATTTCGATATCAAAATGATGAAAAATAACATCAGCTTGCTGCCTGGGCAGTCAATAATTATAAATAATTAAGATTTATTCATTACTAATTGTAAGATTATAAAATGAAACAGTACATAAAGCCCTTCTTATACCCTTATAGAGCCGCGTTTGTTCCTTGTAGCTGCGTTTGTTTCTTCATACGGACATAGACTTTCTATTTATCTGCAGCTTTTCCTGCATTCTCAGTATCGTTTACTGTGAGAGGTAGAATTCTGTAATTTACACTAAGAATACTTCCATCGAGTTTGACTTCAGAAATGACGGCCTGAGATGTGCTTAGATATCATTAGATTTTAATTATAGATAGATTGAGAGATAATCGTATCTATTTTCATAAGCTTATTTAAATATGTCACTGTATTAACCCTTTGAGGTCTGGTTTTTTTTAGAAAAATGGGACATATATTATGTAATTATTTTTAAAGATTTGAGGAATATATATCGCGAATACAGAAATGAGATCGAAATATAAAAATTGACGAATTATAATGGCAAATCCAATATACAATGAATTCAAAAAATAAAATATTACCTAATTGTATATTAAATTGTATAATAATAAATAATAAATTGTATAATAAAATTGCTTATTATGTGATTTTGCAAGAAAATTAGTTAAAAAATAAACACACTGTCAGACGTAAAATGATGTATAAAAATAAATTGAGATATTATAATAGTTTTATAATATATTACTAAATAATATTAATTAATATTTTATTACAAATAAAATTAGATTATTATTATATTTATTGATAACAAAATATATTAGTAAAAACTATGTAGAAAAATTTAAAAGTTTTCCTAGCATCTACATATAAGCATCGATTTAGAATTTTTTTGTCAATAGTTATTTTTGCTATCATTGGAAGGTTTAAAAATTATGAAATTTAAAGTAACAAGACTCTTAATATTCAAAATACGATAATGTGATGTAAAAGACTAATAAGAGTCAAAAAAACATAAAAAGTTTCCATTATTCATACATTAACATGAGTATAATTATAATTAAATCTAAACAACCGCAGAAAATAAGAATATGAATAATGGAAACTTTTTATGTTCTTTTGACTCTTATTAGCCTTTAATATCACATTGTCGTATTTTAAAAATTATGCTTGTTTATAACACACATTAATATATAATAAATAATTTCTTTTAAAACAAGTCCTATACAGTTGAACTAAATAGTTTAATATTCATTAAAAATATGATTTTTTTTAAAGATGCTAGTACATATATCATATATGTATGTACAATGGAATCTTAAAGGGTTAGACAGCTAAGATTTTTTTCTTCTACAAAAACATTATTATGTCGAATCGTTAAAATTCTAATAAGCTATGATAAGGTGCTGTGTCAATATTCAGCCATCTCGGGAAGTCTTAGAACTTGGATGCTTTCGATATTCTTAATGCGCAGCGTATAATAGAATGTGTGCCGTACATTATATTACGCATAAGTACATAGATGCGAGTGTATATAAAATTGCACATATAATGCCAACATCCGTGTTCCATACAGAGATGTCCCATCTCGTTACATGTACTTTGCCAGCTCAGCCTCCGCGTTTTCCGTGCATCCTTCTTTCCAGCACAGCTTGTGATTTGCTTATGCAAAAATAATTATCCGCACGAAAAGTACGAAGCCTATATAAAAGATTGTTTTTAATAACTTATGTAATTCTTTTTTTTAATCAATAACGTCTTTTTTTTCTAACAAGATAAATTTTTATTCATACATGTATACATTTTTTTTTTACGGTCTCTCTATAAAACTTTCACTATGAGAGAAAAGTTTTTGTGATCATAAATATACATTACTAATTATGATTATTATACTATTAGGTGTACAAAAAAGTTCTGAGCTTTTTTTTGTAAA